TGTTTAATGTTTTTTTTCATGCTTTTTTATGTAAATATACGTAAATTTTTATGCAAAAATCCTCCAACTTCTGATTGGACGGCTCAAGGTCACTCGTGCGTTCGCATCCCTTGGGACGCCATTGTAGAACTTTGCCCTAAATAAGTTTATTTTCAATATCAAAAACAGAGATACAGTAGTAAAAACTGGATGAAGTTTTGAGCATAAATTATTGCTGCATGCATCACTGTGTCTGATATTCGAAATAAACTTATCAAGCATGGAATAACATTCTATCACAGTGCCCAAATTCTACACTTACAATAATAAAACTGAGATTTGTTAGCTGTATCAGTGTTACACTTTGTACTGTTTTCGAAATAAATTTATTTTTTCAAGTATCGGTATGCAGAGATTTGATTAGTTTCAGAATTTCATCATGAACTGACACCGGTTAGAGGACCATTGGAAAACTAGCAGGGAGTACTGGACAGCCAGCTGTTTCGTCCTAGTGCTTGGGAATCTTCATCAGAACACACCCACCGCCAACGTTCAAACCGACGATCTTCTGGTTAGAAGGCGAGCTAGCCACTGGGACCCGATCCAATGGCCAGCTCATGAATTCCAACTTCTGCCAGTACAAAATATGGCTCGACTACTAGCGAATATCATCCGTGGCAAGTATTTGTCCTCACATCTGATGTGCTGTAATCCCCACTGGTCACAACTTTCCACTTCTTTGAGTTCCGGGTGTAACACACGTCTTAACAGCATTCAATCCTCCGTTATCACTTTCAACTGGTACCAGGACTGCCCACAAGCTTACATTTCCTCTCCACAGGTCATCCTCGGACACCCAATCTCGTCACTACCTATTCGGCTTCCACTCCAAGGACTACTTACTTGGTGTACAATGTCATTTGGTTGTTTCCTCAGAATACATGCACAATGTGTCTTTATTTCCTTCAAAATATTTGTTGGGCAATGCTTTCTTGATTGGTTGGCTGCTGAAGTTCTTTGTTGCCTATCCTGCCTGGCTGACCATCTGGTCTTCAGTATCAAGCGAAGGCAAATGATGACGACAGTTTGCATCCTGCTGGAAATGCTTTTCGTGAGGTGGTCACCAAGTCTCTCAACCATATATATATAACGGTCCAATGAGGGTGAATGCATCTGAGCAATTAAGAAACATTTTGAACCATAGCTACAATGATCCCTATCCAATGGTTCTTATTAAGAACCTCAAGAACCCCAACCAGGCAGCTTACACCTACTTACATGACTCAAAGTAACTGTCAAAGTTTTCATGGACTGATGTCAAGTTCATTAGCAGTAGAATACTCGCCAACCACGGATGTCATTCAATCTCCGACTGATGCACGCCTACACCTCACTAAGCCAATGATGAGCTCCGTAATGAGGGGTGATTGGGTGAGAGGCTAATAATCCTACCTTGTTAGAAAAAAGCCATTACTTCTACTGAAATATCGAAGCTCAAGCTTGAAGCTCTATGATCCACTCGGAAAGCAAAGGAATAAAGCAATAATAATATTAATAAAGATGTCAGGTTTTTATCTAACCACCCCTAAACACTTTCCAACTTAATCATGTCACAAAACTTTGGCCGTCGAGGAAGACAAATGACTCGGCATGTGCAACACGTATCCTAGATTAACTTACCCTCGTTATCTTAAGCTCTAGGTTTCAATCCCAATGTTACTCACCACATTATACCACTTAGTGAGAGAGAGAGGTAGACAGCAAGTTTCTGTGGTCACAAACAGCTAGCCTTTTTATATGTTCTACTTTCAATAGTTATGTCTCACAGCCATAACGGAGGACAGAGGGCGAAGGGCTTCAGCCGTGCGTCTCCATTGCGTTCAGTTCTCTGCTAGAGTCTTCACCTGGTTCCAAGTCTGTCCACACGTTTTCATCTCCTCTTCACATGACCTCCTCCAAGTCACCCTCACCCTTGCACTGAAGACCAACTCGCCGCTTCCCTTTCGGGTTCCACTCGAGCAATGGCTTGTCTAGTGATGTCACTTGATGGTTTCCTCAGAGTATGGCCAATCCATCTCCATTTCTTCCTGCCTATTTGTTTCACAATCGGTTCCGGCCGGATATATCACGTCTTATTTCTACAAATCATATTTTTAATGACAGTTAGGTGAGTAATTCGACAAGCCTTGTAACCAGCTAAAGTAAGCCTCTTTACATACCTGAATTCATATCTAAACTATTACTAAAGACTTGCGTTCTGCAGTACATTTTGATTGTAGTAATTTTTATGACGATTTCTTACAACAGGTGCAAAAATATGTTTGTTTTTGCATATAGTGAGTTTACTATACAGTTTGTCCATAGCGCTGATTACATTTTGAAGAAATTACTATTAGTTTTGAATATGAATGGAATATTAGGCTACCTTCAGATATATGAGTTCAGGAGAACGTTAAGCAAACCGGAGAGACATCAGGAAGTCTAACACTCATAATAGTACAGAAGGATAGATAATATATCACCACCTTTTATTAATCGTATACAATTATGCAACCCCTGAAACTACTGGTTTTATTACTTTGTCTATCAGTTAATGTGATGTCATGAACTGTGACGCACTCGGTCGGAAGTAACCTGTTCTAATTATTCACGGATATATCTAACTATGACTGTATGTCTTTATTGTATGAAGCTATTTACATAGATCATATTTACATCGGTCAGCGAAGCGAAGCGAGCATCTTTTCTTCTACTATAAACCAGCCTTCGGTTAGCAATTAATATTGGAGGAAAAAGTATCTACGAATCAAATTCCTAATTTGCAAACTACGCAGTTCGAGGAGGTGATATCATCTTCATCACAGATCTCTCAGGAAACTGAAACCATTCACCACCTGACAATGCGTGATCTACAATCAAGAAAGCAAGCATAAATCCATGATGCCAAATACTGCTGATTAATTCACATGGGTAGTTTTGTACTACTCACATCGACCAGTAATACTTGCTAGCCCAAACCTGGTTGTCATTTCGCTTGTTTGGGGCTGAATTCCTCAGCAGTCAGTGTACCCAGTTTGACTAAGCTCAGAGAGCTAAGTCAGTTCAGGCCACTCGAATCCTGGCTGGTTTGCCTAAGTAACCAGCCAGATATCGGTTGGTTTGGATTATTCCAGTCAACAAACTCTTCCAGGGCTAACTCAGCCAAAAGACGCCCTCATGGTAACCTTCTATGTGGACAGCTACCAACCTGGACAGTTCCTGCCTTTATATTTCAAGGTAGGGCCAAAAGAAGTTATTATTTTCGAAATATTGCATCGCAGAAGTGACGTTGCTCGCGTAGTATCGCAGAGATACTCCAGTATGATTGACTAACTGGCTCGAAACTCGTTACTAAAATGATCACGTCTCTAAAAGCTTCTGTTAAACAAGATCTGCACGAATTGGTTCGTTCACAAGATGCATGTATGTAGCACAGAGCAGACTGAAATAGAAACTAAGTCAAGCATTAAATACCTTGGGATAGTTGTCTATCCCCTGACCTCTCTTGGTTATCCCATATCTTGTCAATTTCTAAGAATATGTTCCCAGAAACATATATTAATAGGTTAAGACAGTCAGGTAGGCATCACTCAACCTCTACTTTTACAGTTTGTTAACTCTTACATCTTACCTATTGTTCTCTCCCCTGGTGTTTTCTGGACTACTCAAAAAGGACTGTATCATTCTGTAAAGGGCACTACAGGCCGCGGTAGGGTAAGTGGTGTGACACTAAGTCAGCTTGTTACTACTGTTAGTTGACAGGCATCTGAACTCATGCGAGAAATGAGTTAAATCCATATTGTCTGACTCTCAACACCCTCTTTGTTCACAACTCTCCCCCCCCTTACATCTCATCAGGTAGAGCTAGAAGTGATTATAAAAGATAATACGCGTTCACTTGCACAGCTCTAAGTACAAAAACTCATCGATACCCTATTTGGTTGGCATTCACAATGTGATAGAGAAAGTGTTAAGCGTAAAACTTGCCATGTGATTAGCAAAATATAAATGGCACTTCGATCTTCTCCTATTAATATTATCATTTTATACTTTTTGTACATTTCAACTAACACTGACTGTCGAGGAAGGCGACAGCTAGACAAACGTACCACACGTTCTAACCATTCCAATCGACGTAGCTTCACAACCCCATCAGTTAACTTCCCCTCCTTACCTAATACTCGACGCCTAACCTCAATATTACTCACCTTACAAATACCACCACCCAACACGGAAGATATAGCTTAGACACTTATGATCAAAGACAACTAGCCTTTCCTCCAATAACACCATTGAGATACGGCAACACACTCACTTCATAGTTATACTTCTTTACACTATCCCAATGCAACAAAAATCATGAATTAGTGTGCTTAAACTTTTCATAAGATATGGCAGAGGTCTAACAAGCAGGTAGGTGAAGTCAAAGTATCACAGCCAATCAGATTTAGGCTACACAGGAAAAGGCTGTTCCAAATCAAATCATACCTGCCTATGAGTTTGTTTCAGGAGAATATGATAATAAAGCAATATAATCTTGTAAAAGATAAATATTACTATAGATGCAGTTTATGCTAAAAGAGAACACCCCCCATCATGACAGCAGGCACACTATTCTACTTATTCGCACTAGGTACCTTTTCTGTCAAGGTTAGGAGTAGGTTAAAGGAATAATCAGTGGATGCCGAAGTACCATGATATACAGTCACCTGGATGAATACATTAACCATGAATGGTATGATTTATCTATGGATTATCCATGGAGTAACTGGGAGACACTCTTACAACACATTAGGGACAATTAGCCGGTGTTGTAATATATCATGTTTGCAGGGCTTCTTAAAACATTTCTAACGATTATGCGACTCTCTTTCCACCTACATTCGAATTGGTTGTTTTAAAGATCACTGTGATTTCGGCTATAGCACCAACCTCGATAGCACGCACATATTATATATTGCAGAAGTAATGTACAACTTTCCATCCAGCAGCTGCAAAGTGGATACACTCATCTTCCCAAATAACCAACCGGTTCACAAGGTAGCTTAACACACAAAACAAATCAAAACACACAGCAGCAAGTAATTTAATGTCTAGCTATTTATTGTGAGAATTGGTGAGAGAGAATAATAAAAGCGTAAGTGCAAATAGGAACCAATCACAACAAATAGTAAATAATAAGTTAGTTAGCTATTCGGCATGATCACAAGATTTTAACTGCAATTATAAATATTATACTTATAATCACAAAATTAAAGAGCGCTGGAAATATTATCACTTCTAGGCCACTGTGAAATAAACAACAAGAGAAGTTTAATGACCACCAACAGTGTCAAAGAAGAGAGGAATAGCAGCGAATGAATGAGGCGAAAAAATTGAACGAAAGTGTGAGCTCAAAATGCGAAATTAAAACCACTATCAAAGATGAAGTTAAGTTGGTTATCGGACGAAAAAAAATTGCACGGATAGCATCATCGAAAGAACAAAAAAACAACTAACTGACAAATAGTTGTTTTGTGAAGGCTTGATAATCGTATGCATCCAAAATTGGCTGACCACTTTTAGTGTAATATGGGGGCATAACTCGACTACAATACTCCGCTTGTTCTTTGGATAGATTCTGTGGTGGAAAATGGAGAAAAAAAATTAACTGTGAAATAATACTTAAAAACCACTAAAAATTTTGTTATGATAATATTCAGTGAACAGTTTAACACATTTTAATTACAAATTTGATCACGGATTGACATCGATTAGAGAAACACTGAAAACCAGCAGGAAGTACTGACTGAATTTCGCACAGATGTGCGCACCAGTTCGAGTTGCACACAAAGCAAGAGAAGAGAGTACAAAGAGAGATATCAAAGAGATAATAAACAGAATAGTAAGGGAGAAAGAATAGTGATATGGGAGAACGATAGAGCTTTGTTGGATATGACAACTCACAGAGAGTGGATGTATCTGCGCCTTTCAGAACGAGGATTTTCAGCCATATCACCAATTGTCTCCAGCCCTCATTGGTTCCTACCGTTCCGAAGACTCTAACCAGGAAATCTACACCTCACAACATAGCTTAAACTGACTGTTATGGATTTCATGGAGTGATTCCATGTTTTTCAACCTGATCTTATGCCAGCGATGGTTAGGCACACGTAACACATGTCCTAACCATCTCAATCGATGTAACTTGAAGGGAGTACTGGACAACTGCTTCGTCATAATATGGAACTCATCCACCCACTGGGGTCGAAACCAGAACCTTCCGGGTGCAAGGAAAGCTCGATCAGTTAGTCAGCTACTGGGAGCCGATTCAATGGCCGATGAATTCTAACTTCTGCTAATTGGTGATTTTAGTGCGACCACCAGCTGATGTCATCGACGAGTGTTTATTCTCACTCCCGACAGGGTGGACCTCACATCTTAATTAACTTATGCATTGAAATTTTCAACATTGACAACCTTTCCTATTCAAAAACATTATTCCCGAAAATAAATGATACTGTACTTCATCTACTAATCTCAATTACGTAACACAATAACACTTAATGAAATAGGGATGTAGAGTAGAAGTAAACCAGCTTGTAATGAAGAATCCCGAAGCTTAGTAAGATAAAATTAAACAAAACAAGATCTGCACTTACCGCATACAGTTCTTCTTTTGTAATGTATTCTTTGCCTTCCTTTGTTAAAGCGCGGAAGGCTTCTTCAACTTCATCACGGGATTGAACATTCTCAGTTTCTTTGCTAATCATAAATGCCATAAATTCTTGAAGTGTTATATAACCATCACGATTAGGATCAACAACATTTAATATAGCTTCGAATTCAGCATCCACTTGACCTTCTCCGACTTCGTGTAAATCATGACCAAGAGCACGCAGACATGATTTAAATTCACGGTGATCTAAACGGCCAGACTTATCCTTGTCAAAGTGTTTAAACATCATGGAGAATTCACGAAGGGCTTCTTCACTGACACCACTCACATTTCTAGCTTGAATTTGTTGTTCTAAATTATGTTGCATACGCATGGCAAGCTGATCTAACTGATCCCATGCTTGACTTAAACCAACCTGAAATTAATTCAGACAATATAAAAAAAAGTTAGTTGAAACACATAAATAAAATAGTAAGGAAATATCTGATACCAGAAGATGTAAATATGAAAGGATAACACCAACAAAAGAACGTAAGAACGTACAGTGCTGTGTTCAGTATACCGATTATCCAGAATGAGATGTTCTTCAAGCAAAGTTCCAAGTTTTTCAACCTCTCGCAGATCATTCTTTCGTGCTCTAACCTCAGCCGATTTCTCACGAATACCTTCAAGTTGTTCTTCAAGGCTTCCACTGCCTTCCATCATTGAAGTACGCACTTTCTGTAAAGTAAGTAAATAAGGTTTTTTGCATAAGACTGATTATTTCTAATACGACATAAATATAAATGGATATTACTTGCAGTTAATAACATAACGAAAATTAGTGTGTGTTTGTGTGTGTGCAGTAAGAAAAGGTTGACATTCTGGAAAATAATCGAAATTCTCACCTGAAGCCATTGATGGAATGAATTCGCAGCGACCGCAAACTGTTGTCGTAGTTGATCGTTCTGTTCTTGACGAACAGTTTCACGTCGAAGTTCCGCGTCTCTCTCTAGAATGATTTTCTGTAGGTTACGCCAAGTCTCCACAAGTGACTCCATTGTAAACCATGTGTATGGATTCATGCCAACCTGACAGAAACGATATAGAGAGAATAATAAAAGATTAAAACTGAAATGCAGGATGTATCACAAAACACCAAGCTGGTGAAACCTTGAGGAAAACTTCATGCGTAATAAAAGAAGTGATTATGGTGTTGAGTGTAGAACTGGAAACCACCCTTCTGCAATATATGTCTTGCATGAAGCAAGGCGGCAACGATGACGCCTGTGAACTGACTTTAAAGGTAAGTTAGAAGAACACTAAAATAAGCAATGAGGTTACCGAACACATGCTGATATTTCTCGGTAATTTGTATAACAACTTAAAGAAGCATTTAAATTACTCTTGATATTCACTACGTTTCCAGTTTGACCAAGGATTGATATCACAGTTAGAGAACCATTGCGAAAGCAGGTAGTGAGTAGTGCACAGCTATTTCGTTTTAGTTCGGGAGTCATTGGCGGCGCGCACCCACTGGGATTCGGGACCCGCTACCTTCCAGTTGTAAGCCAAGCTCGCAGACCATCCACAGCCACTGGGATCCGACTCACCGGCCCATGAATTCTAACTTCTACCAATTCATGACTTTAGCATCGTGATTTCCAGTAACTCCCTGGTTTTTAGTGGTTCTCTAACTGAAACAATTCAAATCCCTACATACCAACACTTGAAAATTTACTACGTTGTAAAATTCTCGTCATGTGCTAATATACACTGGAAGTTCAAACAAACCTTAATAAGGTTAACACATGATAAAAAATCACACTGAATAAACAGGAGACAACCAAGTTTAGTTATAGAAGTACACATGTAGTCAGTTATTAAATGTTAGCACTTAAGAGATTAAAATCCTGGCGTCCTAGATACAAAACAATGCATCCTGTCAGAATCTCAGTGAAAGAATTGCAAGAAATTATGGAGTTGAGTTGTGCACGCATCTTTGTCTGTCTGTCTGTTTTCGACATAGAACTTTGCACATATGTGCGACAGTTCAAGTCGCCACACTCCCTCCATGTAGCACACAAACCAAGAGAAGAAAGTAGAAGAAATGCATAATATAGTCAGTAAACAGAGGTGTGAGACAAAGGAATAGTGATAACGAAGAACAAGAACAACATAGTTTCATTGGAAATCATAAGTCACAAGGAGTGGATGCATCTGTGCCAGTCATTGAGAACGATTTTGAGCCATATCACCAATTGTCTCCAGCCTTCATTGGTGTTTACCATCCCTGAGACCCCAACCAGGAAATCTGCACCTCCCGATATGGTTTAAACTGACTGTTTTGGATTTCATGGAGTGGTTCCATGTTTTGGTTTGACCACTACTAGCTCTTCTCCAGCCTGACCCTATGTCAGCTAACATTGACTGTCGGTCGAGGAAAGCGATGGTTAGGCATGCGTAACACATGTCCTAACTATCCCAGTTGATGTAGCTTCACAGCCTCGTCTATTGATTTCCCCTCTTTACCTAGCCTAGCACTCGATGCTTAACCTCACTATTGCTCACCTTATTATACCACTTCACACGAGATAGAGCACAGGCACCTATAATCAAAGACAGCACGCGTCTTTAAGGAACATTCATTATATTCCCAGGTTCATTTTTAAAAACAAACCAATATATGTGACTTAATTATAATAATTATTACGGTCTACATACTCTAGCAGTAGTAATGCTTTCACAGAAATTATGGTATCTAGTGGTTTAAGATATTTCTCTGGATAGAAAACAACATAATTTGATATCAACCAACAACATTATGAACTTACACCATAACTCTTGATTTCCCGATCCAATTGGGCAAGTTGTTGAAAATCAGCTTCAGCAGCTTTTAAAGATGCTTTGAATTGTTCTTGAGCTTCACACAGGGCATGCACTTCATCTAATGAATTACAACGCACAGGATCAGTTAAATCCTCTTCGGCATTTTCAAACCAAGAATTAAAGGTTGATGCGCGTTTAGCAAAAGCTAGATAGAGTTCTTCAACTTTACGATATTGCTCTTGAAGTTGTACAAGATCGGCTTTGCGACGGGCAGACTCACGTCGAAGACGTTCCCAACGATCCATCAGTGAAGTGAAACTGAAAAAAGAGAATGCCAGAAAATCATCAAATAGTATAATTCAAATCACTGGAAAATTACTGCTAAGAATGTATCATTATTTTCTTCTTAAATATAATAACTAACCGTTGTTTTATTGCTGGACTTTGATTGTGTTCCGCTGCAATAAGACGATTATAGAGATCAGTGATTGTCTGAATTCCTTCAGTATGAAAAGATTCCAATGCGGTGTCAAAAGTCGCATGTTTTGCCAACAAGATTTGAACACTACTCAAATCTCGGCCGTAGTCATCGCTACGCACTTGTGTTTCTCGGTCAGCGATCCACGACTCAACAACATCTGTTCTCCACATAAACTGTAAAAATGCTGAATTATCAGTGAGATTTGTTTTGCGACGTTGAGCAGCCTGATTGAGCATATTTAATTTTTCCATCAATCCTTCGCATCGTTGTTGGATTGCTAAACGATTATGATTATCAGATTGTACAAGTTCAGATCCAGTTGAACATAGTTCTTTGCACTTTTCATTATGCACCTGTAACAGAATATTAATAATATGAAGGGGAAGTTACACTTACATTAAGATCTGATTCGAAAGCATCGTGTTTCTTTAAAAGACCTTGAACAGCTGCAAGAGTGTCACCGTAATCTTCACTGCCAAGTAAATGTTGTTTCTCAAGAATCCATGCTTCTTCTTCTTCAACACCGTCAATGAAATCTTGATATGCTAAAGATTCTTCTAATTTTTGTCGACGAAGTGCACTAAGACCTTGTAACTCTTCCCATGCAGATTGAAGACGCTGGAAAATAAAGTAAAAATAGTTTATAAGGATATGGTACTTCAGCGAAGCACGTACATGTGAACAACTAAATCTTAAAAGTAAGGTCACAGCATATTTAAGTTATTTCTCAATTACAAACATTTTCATGTGTATCTACAATGAAGACGGTGCAGAAAGCACCTAGTTATCAATTCTACGTAAATTGACTGTTATACAACACAAGAATGCAAGTTTACACTTGCCTATCTATCAACAGAACGGCACAAAGTACTATGGTTAGTTGGTAAACGTTTCTCATAATAGACTTTTCATGTATTAGACTGAACCACACTGACTGTGTGAGCTAGTGATATCACTTAGCCCCTTATATCCGAGTATATACAACGAGATATTTAGGCGGTTAGAGTGTCAGTCGACAATTAAAGTGATGTTTAACCCAATCCAAGTTAAACAATTGAATGAATGGTGTGGGTAGAAACAATTTACAGGAGAATAACAATCATTTTGCACCGAGAATTTATGGTAAAGGGATAAGCTAGTAAGCAGTGACGAATGTATTCTAATTCTTCTGCAAACGTGAGAGCGTAAGCTTTATTCATTAATACTTACATGAGAATTTGCATAAATCAATAGCCAATATTTTGACCTGACACTAGTGTTATACGTCTAGTCCTTTGTTTTGGTGTAGCCTGAATTCTATCAGTCAATTCTGCAATGTGGTCGCCACTCTAGATGGCTTGCCATTATTGTGGTGTGATAGAATTCAGTCTACACTAACACACAAAGGACTAGAAACGTGGCACTAGTTAACTAATGTCCAGTCAAAGTACCCAATACAGTCCTACAGAAGGTCAAGCGCGAGCCCCACCAAATGAGTTCAAATCTCAGAAGGGACTGTGAGTTCCTTGGAGGTTACAGATACGCCTCGCTGACTGGTGAGTGCCAACAAGCAGGAAACCTAGGCTGAAGCCTTCCTGACGATTGCCAGTAACCATACGATGGTAGCCAATATTATGTTTCGAAACTTTTTGAAAAAAATAATACTAATTTATAGTTACCTGCATTCGTTTTCTAACTTCTTCGGGATCAGCGAGCTGAACACCGACAGTAAGTTCTTCTCCTTGTGCGATAACTTGTTTAATAAATGGATCGTGTGCAGCCACTTCATTTTCAATACGTTCATGCTTTTTGCGTAGATTGCGCACACCGATAAGATCACGTCCATAATCTTCAGAACTAACCAAAATTTTCTTCTCACGGATCCAAGCTTCTTCATCATCAATATTACGATAGAAATCATGCAGGCGTTTCGCTTTACCAAGAGTTACAGCACGATTCTCTGACAGAGCACGAATCTTTAATGGAGAAAAAGGGTTAAATCAATTTGTTAGATTTTTGACCAAAGATAAAAGTGAAAATATAATAAACGTGAAAAATACACTTTCTTCGGAATTATATTCATTAATAAAAAAATACTCACTTTTTCATATCGTTCATTGATCATTTTTTTGCGTTCACGAACCATATCAGCATCCCAAGCACCAGATTTAATGAACTCATCTGCACGGGCATCTAGTTCCTTAATACGATCTTCATGTGCTTGAATATCTGTGATTAGTACCTATGAACAAAAATAGAACAAATAACATAAGGAATTATCACGTTTAATGGTAGGTATTAGTAAACATGTATGGAGAATACTAGTTAATATACAAAAGTTGAAACAAAGATGTGAATGATCTGTTTCATCACACTTCGTATCAACTTTTGTCATTCACATCCTTGTAAGGTGGAATAGTGGGGTGAGTAATATTGAGGATAACATCGACGGTCGATGTTAGTTGACATAGGATCACCTTGGAAAACGGCCAGTGGTGGTTAAATCAAAACAGAGAATCGGTCCATTAAATCTTAAACACTTAGTTCGAGCCAGTCACGTATGGAGATATAGGCTTCATCGTTGGGGTCCTCAGGATCCTAAGAACCAATGGCTGGAGACAATTGGTGGTATGGCTGAAAATCCTTGTTCTCAATAGCACAGATGCATTCACTCCTTACACTCTTTCATATCCCTTAAATCTTCATGTTTCTCCGTGTTACTATTCTTCCTTTCTCATATTATCGTTCTTTCGAATCCCAATTTTTTCTCTTTTGACTCCCTTTGTGACAGCTAAAACTGTAGCACTTCTGTGCAAAGTTCTGAGTTGAAACCAGTCAGTCGCTCCCATAACCCCTATCATTATATCATACTTAGAACTTATCAATCGGTGGATTCCTCATAAACCTGGAGATTATTTCTAACAAACTACAACTGCACAAAAATATTAGTACCTTACATGAGGTGATGTGGAAACGACAGAGGCTTGAATGCTGTAATTGCAAAATAGACAGGAAAGAAACTTCTGTTTGTTTCAGACCTTGACTAACATGTAGTAACCAGTCAGTTTCAGCTAAATGTCAAAATGAAGAAAACTGAAAATGATCAGACGGCAGAAGACTCCATCTAGACAAACCACAACAGTCTTGCACAGAAACACAATGTACTGAAGTGTTTCATGACAGCTTATTAATATTCAAGTATTGGTTTGTAGGGATTTAATTGATTGGTAACAGAATTTCATCATGAAGTGACATTGGTTAGAGAATCATAGGAAAACCCGGGAGTACTGGACAGCCAGCTGTTTCGTCCTAGTGCTTGGGACTCTTCATCAGTATGCACTCACTGAGGTTCGAACCCACGACCTGGTTACAAGGCGAGCTCGTAGACCAATGGACAGTTCATGAATTCTAACTTCTGCCAATTCACGGTATAGCGCAATTGATTGCCCAATGTCTTCGGCGAGTATTTGTCCTCATGCTCGAACTGCTGTACCCTACTGGTCTTATTAAGACGATGCGCTGGACACTTTGGGTGGCAATGCAATCGTTTCCAGTGCTGGGGCAGAATAAGACGGATACTTCACCAAACGTCAACTCAATAAAGGCTACTATAACCCTTCGACGTTAACCACTTTTGTATTAGCTTGACCAATAAAAATAATTGCTAAAATTATGGTTTTTAAATGGCAAAAATAAGGGCGCAAAACAGAGACACAACACAGTTATACACTTTTAGGAATAATCCCATATCTAAATAATATCACATACCTGATGTTTTGATAGAAGACTATCAACTGATGCCGAATCTCTACCATAATCTGGACTAACCAGTGAAGTTTCCATTTCACCTAACCAGAATTCAATATCTTTGATGCCAGCATTATATGCAGCTTGGCGATTAGCTTCTTGTAACTTTTCAGATTTTTCATGAGAACGATTAACAAGATTATCCCATTGGTTAGCCAGTTTGGCAATACGTTCTTCCACGGCACTTTCCTGTCCTTTGCATTGATCTAGTAAAGAGAAATCATAAAATAGGTGAGATATGGAAAAGCAAAAATTGTGAAAGGAAACTGTTTTCACATAAATAGTATGACTTACTTTTCTGCTTTAAGCGCTGCCCAGCTGCCAAAATCCCCTGTAAGCGTTCTGCGTTTGCCGCCAGTTCTGCTTCAAAAGCTTGATGTTTTTGATGTTTAGCCTGAATATTTGTAGTTGGATCTTTGTATGGCTCATCCATTGTAAATTGCATTTTTTCATTTATCCATAATTCCATTTCGTCTGCATCTCGAATGAAAGCTTGAAGTGTTTGAGCGTCGCCCAATTTGCTTCGATTGTCAATCATAGCATCCTTTAAATGAGTCCAGCGATTTAAAACCTCTTCACGTTTAGCCTTGATTTGATCTGCATCATAATGATCCGCTTCTAGAAGTTTATCAGCATTCGCTATTAGGTTCTGAATCTTGACTTCCTGTAGAGTGATAGCACGATTAAAGTCCTCATGTTTCTTTATCAGTGCATCAACCTTGTTGCCATCAACATCATCACCAGCCAAAGATGCTTCACGAATCGCCATCCAATCCTCAGCTTGTTCACAATCGCGGAAGAATAATTGTTCCTCCAAATTTTGCTCTAGTAGCTTGTGTCGGTTTAACCAAGCGCTAGTGCAGAAATTGAAAATAATGATTACTTGTCAGGGCTTAGAAAGACCAATTTTCAAGGAACAGTAGGAGAAATTTGTACTCACATCAAAATTTCAAATGCTCTTTCAATAGTTCACCTTCCAATGACCATCATATTGTTACACGACATGGAAACCAACTGCTAATGTGATAAGCATGCCTAATGAAAGCCATGAAAATTCCCTATTAGCTACTACTGATCGAAATATACAACCACTTCGTTCGCACTAAAAGTCCTCCACAATATATGCCGCTAACACTAGTCATTGAATAAATCAATCTCACGATCGCATTCTACTTAAAACATAAACTTTACGGAATCCTATCACTAACCTGACAATAAACAAGAGCGTCATAATTTTTTCCCACTAGTGTTCATCTATATTATTAAATGTAAAACCTAATTATTTGTCTTATAACTTGTTCAGAGAGCTTATCCGAAATTACATGCATTTAGTCTCAAAAGATCAATCTATAGGATTTTAACAGAAGACACGTAAAATAAATTTTATAAGAAATTGGTTCAACATATTACAAGCTAAATAAAACAAACCTTTAAATCTAAGAGGCATCAGGGAATTGAAAACTTTTAGGCTTTTATAACCAGTAGACAAACTTACACATTCAAATTTTCTCTTGCCTCTGCAATTTCCTGGAGCTTTTGTTGTACAACATCCGAAGCATAATGCCCATTGTCCAATAATTCCTTACCAAAAGACTCGAAGTTTTGGAATGCCGGAGCTCGAGTATCGATTTCAGTACGGTATTCCTATTAAAGTAAGTAGAACAAACAGAAAGACTTACTCGATGAGTATCCAGCAAGGACTCTGCACTTGTAACGTACGTTCCCACTTGCTTCGATGAGACCAAACCATACATCGTAGTAATCCACGACTGAAGATCCCTGGAAAAATTAATAATAATAATAACAGTGAAACTCTCTAACCAATCGCATATTTTTTATCCTGAGCTATAATCCACACTTTGAGTGACCATAATAAACCCCGTAACACAAATAGGTGAAAAGAAGTTTGAAGAAGAAATCAAACTGGCTAAGCTATTGATCAACTGAGCAAAATATGTGGACTAGAAGAAACTACTGCGAAACATGTAGTCAAAATGTTCCAACTCCTGAGTCCACACTACGTAACATAACATTATGAAGCAAACAGGGAGTAAGTAAATAAAGTACTGAGTATAAACATTTATAGTCCTGTGAGTCTGAAGCGAATTAGCTCTGATGGGGTATTTCACAGGGATACTTTAAGTGACTTTCTCTTCACTGCTTTTCTTTTGATTCAAAAAGTTAGTTTTATACAAAGATGCACATGGACCTTTGGAAATAGGTGAGCTGCTTGGATTCATTGGACGTCAGAAGCTAGGAAACCATTTATTTATCCCTGTGCTGTTACTAATTATGCTTGCAACACTCAGTTGGTCAAATGAGATTACGACAAATGCAGTTGGCAAACAGGAAGATGACTGAGCGTCAGATGCTTCGGTTAACATCACTCTCAGGGACGTCCTAATGTGAATTCCTCTGCAACTACTTCAGCCTGGGCAAGGGGGCAATATCATCAGTCGTCAAACGATAAGTACGGCTCACAGCTTCGTACAGGTAAAACCTGTTCAGGTTAAGTTAGACCTAACTAACCCACATCAAAACTGCTAATCTTAAACATAAGCACATAAGCAATAAACACATGGCTTCACAAAACGTAAAATTGTAAAGTTAGGTAAAATATTAACATTATGGCATTCCTAACACCTAAGCGAAGTTTGAGGCTTTTGTGAGAACACCAAGGTAGTGTTCCGGTTGAGTTTAATTAAATATAATTAGTTAATCGATGGTAATGGTGCAGCTAGTGATAACTCATAAACAGACAGGGGGCTTACCTTGCATCAGCTAAGAACTTTTGGAGATCTAGAGAATCCAAAAGTTTGGCTTTTCTTTTTTCAGCAGTTGCAGCCAAACCATCCCACAAATGGTTGATTTCTTCTTGATGTTTACATATTCCCTCCGCATCCTGAGGATGAATTTGCACTAGGTCAGCAGCCTTTGAATCTAACTGTTTGACTCTTTCGCCTAACGCTACTAAATCTCTTTCTAATGCATCATGTTTACGTATTAGACGTTGAACAGATGTGAAGTCACTCCCTACATCATCTGTCAGTAGTCTACTTTCTTTTTCTTCTATCCACTCTTTGGCTTCTTCACATTCTCTATGATACCGTTGAACGGCATCAATATCTTCTAGTTCCTTAGCTTTTTTAGCAGTAACTTCTTCTAACTGTTCATATTTCTTTTGAAGTTGCATGATAATACCTTCGATCTTCTCTACCGCTTCAGTCTGACCACCTCGCTTTAGTTTATCGGCTTTAGCGCATAGTTCGGTAACTTTGGCTTCTCGTTCTTTCTGTTCCATGACAAACTCATCAACTTTTTTCTTCTCTGACTCTACTTCTTCTAATCGCCCAGGAACTATAGTCTCTGTTACAGCAACTAGTTCTTTTTCAACAACCCATTGGTGCAAATCATTTGCTTCTCTAACCAGCTGATAAGCTTCCACTGAGTCTTGGAGTCTCTCTCGGCGATCACGACCCAACTGAAGTAAATAATTATACTGTTCTTCGAGACGTTGCTGTTGTGAAGCTACAGTAAGTGGTTTAGTCATCAAACCAGATTGAGCATCAGATAGCGGAGCTTCAACTTTTTTGACGTACGCAGCAGGAACGAACCCTTGGCGATCATTTACTTCTACTTTCCACCAATCCTTATGATTGCTGGCTAAAAGAGTTAATATTTCTCCTTTGCGCATAGAGACTTCTCTAGGAGATTTCTCCTGATAGTCATAGAGGGCCATAACAACATCTTTGCCGAGCAGATCACTTGCTGGAGCTTCTTGCATGCGACAGTTACTGGCTTGGACACCAAGAGCTTCAATAGTCGAACCGTAGGCTTCAATGTCTGCAAGCAAGGCATTATGTTTCTTTAGGAGCGCTTCCGTGGAATCTTCATCCCGACCAAATTCGGATGAACCAACTAGTGGCTCTTTTTCCCGCATCCAACTCTCTGCTTCACTAGCGTCTGCAAAATACTGTTGGGCCTGTAACGAGTCTTCCAACAACCGTCGTCGATGATCTGCCTTTTCACAAAGCTGAGACCATTCTGAAGTAAGGTCAGCTATACGTCTCTCAATGTCGCCAGAAGCATAGTGGTTGGCGCGAATCATGTCTTGACCTTCCTGAACGACCTCTTCAATGCGCGGTGAGTGACCGTTTATTTCCGCATATATAGCTTGATGCTTCTTGATCAAGTTCTGAACACCAATCAAATCGCGACCTGAAACAATATGAGATTCGACACTATTAAACAAATCGAGAAATTAGGTGGACAAAGTGAAATCTACCAAAGGTAAGAAATCAGTTAATTCTGAAACATCTAATCATGTAAAATATTGCCCGCAAGCGTCCTAGGGAGAACTAATGCTCGTCTGAAAGTTAGCGGCCTTTTATATTGCCTGAAGTACTGGAGCATTCTGCTCATAGACTCTCCAGCCGAAATACCCAAGTAGCTCAACATGTTATTAAATGAAGTTGGGGATGGGGCCAAGTAAGAGAAGTTATTTGGTGATGTTATGAGACTCGAAAGTATCTTATACGTATCAAAAGGTCATCTTTATCTACAGACACTATTAGACGAAGTATAACTAAGTTGTCACAGTTAAAGGTGATCAGATTACGTCATAAAGGTAACCCATAAAGTCAACTCTAGAGATGCAGACTGCTGGGTTAGGGCACCAGTGAGTACCACTATCTTTCTTTATTCTTATGGATTTGTCCAGTCAGGCAGCACACAACTGCCCACTGGAATGCAATCGGGCTGTTTTCTGATTTCTAGCTCAACACTACTCCTACACAAGCAAGTTCAAGGGGAATACCCATAGGATCTCTTGATAACCGTATACTGAATCTCACAGATTCACCATGTTCAGGTTGGGTTAGGGAAATAGGCCCACAGCTCTACGTCAGCGTCCCATAAACACAACACATCTAAAGCATGAGGTGCCAGAGATTTACGTAGTGAGACATACGAACTGACTGGCCGTAAGGTTTGAACTCTAAAAGCGTCAATATGAAGTTTACAGTACGGTTTTAAGAAACCATTAAAGGTGTTCCTCTTAAGTCAATAAGGATTGTCTACGAAATAGTATTAACATAAGGATGAAAGCCAGGAATTTATTGGCAACAAATAGACGAATTATGTGCTGATGGAAGTGCGTGGGCGGTTGCCCACCCCAAGGTAGAGTAACTTCATGGGGTCTTTAAACATTCCCGCAATTAAAACTAGAACAAGACATGTAAGCGAACAATATTGTTTCTTGTATGGTATGTATAGTATATATACATATATATAAATTAGAGAAAAATCTGAAGATATAATTGAAAACAATATTGTTCGCTTATATGTCCTGTTCTAACATCTTGGAGTGTCTAAAAAAAGCGTAAGTTGCGTTACTGCGGAGTCCAAGACACAACTGCTGGTCGCTCGTCGCATGCGGCCTGTTTAGAGGCAACCCTGAAGTTAACTATGGACTGCCGTGAGGTAAGCCAGGATGTATATTTTGGGGGCCAACTTTCCATAACTGCCTCCTCCAGAAAGCTGAAAAGCAGTAAATGTGGTTTGCTAGGAGGCTCATATGAAAACATCTGACCGTCATACCCCTATCCACCAGCAGTACGACTTCGCCCTAGGAACGACGACCTACATTACAATTTAAACCCGACCACAGCATTATGGAAGTAGCTCAACATAAGGTGCGCTAGGAAGGAACATTAGGACACTGACATGGTCCCGAAATAGTGAAAATGCACTTGATGTGTCCAATTGTCATCTAACAGATTTTCGTTTAATTATTTTCCCACCGCAAACACGCTTGTCTATCAGCGCATTACTGTCCATATTTCCTTATGCTTTTCTGAAGTGTGGTACCTCGAAGGGATACGGTTCTGTTTTGACGTCTAATGTCAACTACTTACAAATAACTGCTCTGATGATGAATCACTGATTACTATAAACCAAGTGAATTTCAACCGCATAGTTCTTAAAGCACTAGTCAGAATTATGGACAAAGTAGTCGAGTGATACAACTGACCCAATGTGTACCTTAATTATATCCAGTTTTCTGACATCGTGTAGAAATGGAATACACTGGGTTTAGTGAAACCTGACTTTATTATTAAGGTCACGACTAACGTTCGAAGGCAGACAGAATTGCCAATGGACCAGTTTTTGTATTAGTTCACTAATTACTGATAACTTGTGAAGACATCTGACAAAATTCCAAACATTGGTAAATTTCACTGATGGTGAAAGCTATGATGCAGCCAACACGATATTTAAACCAATTTGGTCATAGCCATTGTGTGTCTTGCCTCGGCATACATAATTCACATATCGCTGCAAAGAGACTGTAGTACTCGAGGTACAACCTAACATTGTAAATACTCAATAAGTGTTTAGTAGTGACATGAAGGTTTAGGTAAGCAGAAAAGAGAATTTCCTATAGACTGACAAATTTTTATTGGCAAATGGTGTTGCTGGTAGCGATACTTATGATAAAGTTCAAAAGACGGTCGAGTTAATGATGAATAATATTTGTATCAGTTTAATGTCCGAACTCACGACACTCCTATGAAGCAAAGAGTTGTGGAAGAATCTCTGCCAGTACTTGCCAACATCAAAATAAAGACCAGGCTTCATAACTATAGAGGCACAAACTCACAAGGCAGAGTCATATTATCCAATTAAACTCCCAAACCATGGATTAAACGATATTAAGTGTGCATAGCGGAATTCCTTTTAAGTACAATTAAAACTCTTAAAAATTCCTAATATATGTGTAAAACTTGGGCACTGTGGTAGTAAGCAATTCCACGTTAGTCTGCTTATTACATACATCACATAATGAAACAGTATTATTTACTGTTTCACTGTGATATATCTAACAAATAAACGAATACGGAATTTCTTAAAAGTTCTAATTTTCCCACAATTACTTTGGGTTGGAGTATAATCCACTAGTGATGTTAAATAAAATAACTTATGGACTAACATAATTAGTAAATTCTAAAAGCTGCAAAAACCTTGTAAGCCTCCGCAAAAGGCAGGATACTACTTTTGCATACTGCTGTGAAAAGAGGCTTATTGATTTACGGCACTTAAAACCATGCACATGTACATGGGGAACTAGTGCCGAAGAGATAATCGACTGGTTTACTTACCCACATTAGTCGAACCTGCGACTGATTCTTTTTCCCGGATCCAGTCTTCTTCATCTTCTACGTCTCTAAAGAATTGGTGCAACTTGTAGGCATCTCTTAACTTCTCACGACGTTGACTTAGAGGGCCTTGCAGGTCATGGTAACGCTGGGCTAACTGTCTTTGTTTTTCTTGGATAATAGGAGCGTCGAAATGACCTTCTGCAGCAAATGTGTCAGCCTGGACTTTGAATGCATCTATGCGTTCACGATGAGCAGCTACATCAGATTCAAGCAAGTTGTGCCGCTTTTGTGCGTTCATCACACCGTTAAGATCACGACCGACATCCTCCGAGGCTATCTGAGCTTCAACATCACTTAACCATAACTCAACATCTTCTACGTTGCGAACAAACTGTTGTTGCCTACTTGCTTGGTCTAAATTCTTCTTCTTGTTTCCCATGGCATTTACAAGATGAGACCAAGTTTCGTCCAATTGGTCAATCTTTACTTTTATTTCTGGTGAGTTGTAATGGTTCGCATTTAACAAATCTTGACCTGTCTTTTTGATATCTTCAACGCGGGATTGGTTGGCTTGTATTTCTGCCTCGAAATTCTGATGCTTCTGCACCTTTGTTTGCAAATTCGTGGAGTCTTTGTAACTTTCATCAAGTGCATTTTTAAGTTTTTCTGATATCCATGACTGCATTTCATCTGCATCTCTATCAAACATTTGATAACGGTGGGAATCTTCAAGACGCTGACGGCGGTTCTGAGCTTTCTCCTTTAATGCATTTCGTCTATTTTGAAGACCTTGCTGAATCTCATGAACCTGTGCAGCTGCATAGTGATTTGATTCGATTAATTTTGCGGCGAATTCATCAAGCTGTCGCATTTTTTCTTCTTGTGCTAAAAGGGACTTTTCGAAGTCTTCATGTTTTCTTATAAGTGCTTCAACAGAATCCAGTGAGTCTCCTACATCTTTTATTTCTAAGAGGGCCTCTTGCTTTCCAATCCAAGATTCCGACTGTTCAGCGTCGCGGTAAAAATACTGGAGACCCATACACTGCTCTAGCTGTTCCCGTCTTTCCTCACACAACTGCATCAGAGAGGCTCTCTCCCTTTCAAGGGCGGAAAGTTTAGCAGCTATGTCTCCACTACAGGGATGGCCAACACTTATTAATGCCTGACCTTCTTGCATGCATGTATCGAAACTGTCAGCTCGGGAATTTATCTCAGCGGTGTATTCCTTATGTCGCTCTACTTGGGCTTCAGCACCAGCTACATCTTTTGCCAGATCATCCGCCGATATTAACGTTTTCATGTCACTCATCCAGATACTCAAGTCTCTCCAGTCAGCCAAAAAGCGATGCATCTTGAATGACTCTTCTAGTTTACCCCTCCTATCTACAGCCTGACTTTTCAGCTTCTCCCATGCAGTAATTAAGGCGTCATATTTGCCTTGTATGGTGTCTTGCGAATCAGGATGCTTCTGTGCAAGAGCCTTAGCATCATCTCCAAGCTGAACAATCTTTTCATCTAGGGCAGTTAGATCCCTTTCTAGTGCTTCGTGCTTCCTTTGTAAGGCTTGGACTGAGGCAAGATCACGACCACAGTCCTCAATGGACAAAGGAATGGACTTTTCATTCACCCACGATATAGCTTTATCCGTGTCTCTGAAGAAGCGCTGTATCTCATAGGCTTCCAGAAGCTTTTCTTGTCGTTTCTTAGCCAGATCCTTCAGACGCTCTAGAGCTTCGCGGACCTCTCTGGATTTTTCTATGACTAGGGCATCCTCAGGAAATTCTTCTTTTAGAAGTTCATCTGCCTTCCGATAAATGTCTTCGGCACGACTTTCTTGATACTCGAGATCCTAGAAAATATGTATTATGTATTTGCTGACATACCTTTGTAAACTCATCAAACTTTTTTTGGAGTGTCTCAACATGTTCCAAGTCTTGACCGAAATCCTCCGAAGTTACGTAAGTTTCTTTCTCACGTATCCAGAAAAGTATTTCGTCAACTTGGCGTAGAAACTGAACAAATTTAAGCGTAAGGTTAATAAGACGAGATTTTTCTCTGAACATAGCCATAAGCCTTTCCCACAGGGCATGCAGTTCATCAAGACGGTTCTACAAACATGAGGAGGAGGAAATCATATTACTTTGATAATCTCTGTTGCGTAGTGCCCCTGACCAATCATTTCTTCTCCCGCAGAATCCAGAGCTGACAGTGTTTCAGCATGAGCTGTTACTTCGAGCTCAAACGCTTGATGTTTCTGTTTTTTCGCCTACAAACACAAGTATGTAACAATGAGGTGAGGGTAAGTTACCTGAAGATTACTGAGTTCTTTAAAATCCTCATTTGCATATGTTTGCAGTTTTTCATTGATCCAACACTCAAGTTCATCGGCATCCCTCTTAAAATATTGATATCTAACCAAATAATTTAAAAAGACAGAACTGACCTTTTGGCTTCTTCCAACCTGTGGCGACGATATTGTGTCGCTTCTTTGAATGCGGAGTAACGAGAGAGAACTTGCTCTCTACGCTCGCGGATATCTTCCGGAGTTTCTAATATCTTAACTTTAGTTGGTGGCTCGGCCATTCTTGAAAACCTTGTAGAACCGAAACTACCTTTGATAGTACAAATTACCGAGGTGGTGCATATAAACACAGATTTGACCTTGCCTGTATCCAATACAAAACATACCCTGAAATTCAAATAACTCATAACCAAGGATTATTTCTTAGATTTTCTGCAGTTACTCATGCATTGTTTTCAGTTGAGCAAACTATAGCTAATTTATTGAACCGACAGTCGTTCCACTGTTATAAGTTACTTTCTCCAAATCCAGATTCAGATTCAGATTCAGTTGATAAGGATAGAAGGCTCTTGTGGCCTGTGTTAATCCTTGCAAAATATATCTCTGCAGAGATCTAACTTCTCTTTGAAAGCGTTCACCGATGGAGCTGTTACTACGGAATCAGGTAAGGAGTTCCAGTCGTTGACCACTCTATGAGAGAATCTAAATTCTGCACGTATTTTAATCGTCCTCGGTTTGAGCACATTTTTGCGGTGACCCCGTAAATGTATCCTAGAAGGGGAGAAAAGTTTAGAAAGGTCAGTTCCTAAATCACCCTTAAGTATACGGTAAGCCAAAATTAGGTCGCCTCTCTTCCTTCGGTATGATAACGGAAAGAGATTTAGATGCTCCATCCTCTTATCATAAGGAAGGTGTGATATACCACGAACTAGTTTCGTTCCTACTCTCTGTACTCTTTCCAGGATATATGCCTCCTTTTTGAAGCATGGACCCGCCGCTTGTACGCAGTATTCTAGATGAGGCCCAACATATGTTGCGTAGAGTATTTGGAACATGCCCTCATCTAATCGTTTGAAAGCCCTACGGAGTGCCCATAGCATTCGAAAAGCCTTAGCTGCGGCTGCATTGCAGTTTGCAGTTGTTTTCAAATCATTGCTGACAATGATTCCTAGGTCCTTCTGTTCGTTAACATCAGGTAGTTCTGTGTCCCCTAGGGAGTACGACGTATAAGACTTCTGACCTAAGTGCATTACTGCGCTTTTCCTAGAATTCATTTTCAAACTCCACAGGTTCGACCACTCCGCTAATTTATCTAGATCAGTTTGTAGGGCCAACCTATCCTCGCTATTGTTTACAGTTTTCCATATCTTAATGTCATCTGCAAATAACAATGAAGATGAAGTAAGAATCCCTGGTAGCTCATTAACGTATAATAGGAATAGCAAGGGGCCTAATACAGTTCCCTGGGGCACTCCACTGGATACTGCTTTCCACCCATCCCATGGCTTAATCTCTGAGACAGGCATACTACTGCTGGCTGTAACATCCTAGTGTATCTACAGAACAATACATTTATTGACCGAATAATTCTTCATTGGTTTTCAGAGAAACAAAACGCAGGTTTGGCAAGATAGGTGACCACACGATAATCGTGAGTGATACTTCTAGTTAAAGTTGACAGGATAACGGGCGCGGTGCCATTCAAGCAGTGAAATTTAACTGGTTTCCATAGTTAAGTGGTTGCTCGGGTACATTGTACTTAGCGAGGCAGTGCAGTGCGGACACTAATGAAACCACGAGTGCCTTACAATTGGTGAGCCGGAGCATCACTTGTTGATATATCTCGTGGCAAGTTTATTCATATTTTCACTTATTTAACGATTGTATTGTTTTTTGCTTTTGCACGCTACATTATCATTATTTCTATATTTGTGGTCGGGTTATTCGATTAGTGTAGCGTTTCGTTCTGTTCACTCGCAACAACATATCACAAAGATGGCTGCAGATGGAAGCCACTCTGCAACTTCTCACCTTCTGGACACACCACCTATCTTCATGGCCTTCTAATATGGAGGCACAGAGCGCTCTGTCATATATCCATTCACAAGGAACTCACTCTAACTAAGTTATCAATAGCTTCTCTAAACACAATCTCAGAAGCTAGCACAATTCCACCCATAATTGCAGAGCGCCTAAAGCCGAAACCCTTACAACTACTTGAGACAAAGTCTGAGAGATCACTGTTTTTAAACGTGACCGACTTGGCTGACACCATTATTATTGCAGTTCTCCTGAAGCACTATCGGCTGATAGTATACACTGGCAAGCGTAAGTCTGTGGATATTATCTCGCGACCCTCAGTCTAGGGAATCGCCTTCTCTTAGCCCACCGTATTCTAACCCCTACACTTCATTTTCCTGTGCTCCTATCATCTGATCTAGTGAAGTTTTCAAACCCAGTCGTGGTACACGTCGTGTAACGACTGATGTCTCGTATAAAATCACAACTACTGACTCACTTGTATTAGCTAAATCATGGGAGCTGTCTCCAGAGAAACGACAAAGTATGATTTAGGGAATCTGATAGTAATGGGGATACTCAGACCATTTGACAGCCCATAGTTTTCATTTCTGTGTGTAGTACCTGCGAGTAACGTCATGGACAGGGAGCTTTGCGTTGATCACCGAAATCTCAGTGGTCAAACAGTCCCAGATAGTTGTCCATTCTCGAACATAAACAACCTGATTGGCTCTTTGAAAGGAGCGCTTATTTTCACTAGGATTTATCTGAGAGGTGCCTATCAAAGTATTCCAGTTCATCCTGATTATGTCCTGAAAACCGTGGACATCATTCTTCTCGGTCTTTCTGAGTTTTTTGAGATATCCTTTAGTCTATGCGTCGCTCAAATACTTTGACATTACATTCATACGTCTTTAGGGAACAAGACTTGGCATGTTTCGACGTTTTTATAACGAGGCTGCACTGACCAATCTTCCAAAAAGTTAAAACGAAATGCTAATCTTGATTCCAGAAGCCTTGGAGGCTTTCAAAAAATCATGATGGCCCTTGAAGATACCTTTATATTGGTGAACATGGAATTAAGTCTTCCTCTTAATTTTACTTTTGGTACATTTTAAGCAACTTTTGAAGCTATTCTACAACAACTTGTAAATTAGGCTTAGATTCATTTCGCCTTCTTTTTCAGCAAGCTGTCTGCGTTATAGAGCGTTCAGTGTCAAACTACTACCAACCAGGCTTCCATCAGATAGTTCCGTTACTTCAGTTAAAGTCAGGGTACACTGTCTTTACGAAATGAAAAGCATTGACATACACCTTCCGTACCATAAAAGATAGATAGTCCCTTAGTGAAATCCTCCATTTCGCCCAAATGCTTCAACCCGCACTGGAAACACACCATGTCTCTCATGTGATTAACCCAAATGAAGACAAGATTTCTCGAATTTACACAGCCTCAGCAACGCTGACTACTGGCACGGGGAAAGTGGGGTGTTTTATTCTTCAAACATTAGGGATGACAGGTAGTACCACGATTGCTTTCAGCATATACGGAGCGCACCACATGCCAAAAACTAGGGTGAGATATTGCGTTACACAAAATAAAGAAATCTGGAAAATACAGCTATAATCCGGAAACTATTGTAGTATCTACAAAATATACAGAAGATTTTATAAATCCTACTGAAAGGGATCGAAGTTCGTCTATTAAACTTAATTTAGGCCATTTGATTTCCAGCGATAAATTCATTTATCTGTGCTGACTAGATCGGATAATGTGGACATCTTTAGTCCACTTGCACCCCATTCTGAGCACTCATACCTAGTTACGTGTGTGGAAGACTGCATTTGTTGACCGGTTTTCATCTACACGCCTAATACTACGGAAAAAAGCAACTCTCCTAGTCTTTGAATGCTCTTCTACGAATACAACGAAAATAGGGTGGGCGTCTGGATCGGCAACCCACAAGGGACTTTTGGATGAGCTGGGATGCAAATATATTAAAACCACGGCGTACTATTTATCTGCTAATGGCAAGGTAGAGTGCTTTTGTAGTCAACTTGAAGCTGGTTTAATGGTTGTTGACAATGTCAAATGGACAGATGGTCTCGTTTTGGTCCTTCTCAGAGGTATCCCCACCATCGAAAATGATACACACTGGCTCTTCGTAGGAATCGTTCGCAGCACCACATTACGGTGAACCTGTTTCCATTGTGGGCAGTGAATCGAGTGTTTCTTATTTTCATAGGCATGCCCAAAACCTTATTATATTATAATTATTCTCTTGGTTTCTGAGTGGGACAGGACTTCAGCAACACATCTCCACTTCGTTCTATTTTCTGCCATCCTCTTCAGCTGGGTCCACGAATGCCCAAACTCTCTCATCTCCTCCCAACACGATCTCCTCCATGTCATCCTAGGACGACCCACTCATCGATTCCCTTCGGATTCCACTCGAGCAATTGCCTGCATTGCGCTCACTGTCGTTCGGCGGCCTCCTCAACGTATGCCTGATCAGTCCGTCTTCATTTTCTCTTACATATTAGTTGAGCAGTTGGCTCTCGTCTGACGGTTTGTTCCCAGCCAGAGTTTCTTGTGCTAATTCTTTATGGCTTCCTGGCCAGCTGTCCTGCGATTTGATCTTCAGTATGGAGCTAGAAAACGTGATATCTGCTGATAAAAGTCTGTAACTTGTTAGAAATCCTTTTCGTGACGCGCTGGGCAAGTTTCTGACCCGTACAGAAGAAGTGACTGACTTCTTATTTGTGTTAAAAATCCGAATTTCGCTTTTTATACCTGCTGGGTGCAGAAAATTTCCAAACTTGCCTTTCCAATTCTGGCTAGCTTTAACATCTTCAACCGTTCGGCGTTCCTGTGGTTGAAACAATGCTTCTTGGCCAGATAAGGGAAGGAAGTAATCCAGATCTACTAGTGTTCCAACGTATTCCTGTCTTCTCACTCTTGATGCGCAGCCTGACGCATAATCCAGTCCACCACCACAACTAGGAATATCATCGGCGATAATAGGTAGCCCCATCTTACTACCGTATGCACTTCAAAAGCCTCGCTGAGTTTTCGTTTGTGGATCACCCGAAACATAGCATTGTCATATAGCTGTTGAATGAGGTCGACAAAGACTTGTGCACTGCACGCCATAGTGTTGAAGTAGTTTCAGATTACTTATCAGTCAACGCTGCCTGTAGAACGCCTTTTCGAAGTCGATGACGTTAAGGTAGAGGTTTGACTGCCGTTCTATGCTATGTC